TTTAATGATTTTAAAGTTTCAGGGGATTTTTAAGGATAATTTTAATTGATCGGCCTGTTTAAATATTTCTTTTTAATTCGGCTTTTAATTATTGTATTTGTATTGTAGTTTTTATGAGGCTGTTAGCCGCCCTGAGTCCCATGAGGAGAAGGGCGGGGTATAAATTAAATTATAAATAAATAAATAAATAAATAAATTATAAATAAATAAATAGTGAGGAAAAAAAGAGGAAAAGAATCATATACTAAACCATCGAGGAGAAAAGAGAAAAAGAAAAATGACACCTCCCCTGAAAAAAGCAAAACAAAACATAAAATTAAAGAAAAGAGAAACCTCACATCTAAATTATATTTTAATTCTAATTCTTTATATAAAAAAGCACTTAGAGAAAAAAGCTATATCAGTCAATTAAAATTATATAACTTGCTTTAATTTCAACATTATGACCCAGTTTTTAAAATACTAAGTTAAACCTAGTCTGTACAGCACTTGCCTCCCCTTCTGTTCAGATCCATGTCCAGCTTAGTTAAGTTGATTTAGCTTGTCTGGATTTGGCTCCTGAGAAGGATTGGTCCTTGGTCCTTGGATAGGAATTGACCTTAAAAGACCAGGACTATGGGCTAAACTAGAAAGTCAAAAAGAGCACGCTGGAAGGCAGTGGCAAACCACTTTTGCATTACTGCCCATGTGGTTATGAAATCCAAAGGAGCCAGTGTGACTTAAAAGAAACTCAACTTTTGCTATAACTGATGAAACACTGTTGCCATACAGATGTTGAATAAATTCATGTTTTATTTTAGAAATTGTTGTCTGTTTTATATTAACTTGAAGAAAGGATTTCACCTATGGCCTTCCGTGTCTACTCACAATGTTACCAGAGAAATTAAAAGTATTTGAAATAACTAACATTGTGGTCCTAGTAAGGTTAGAAATTTCAAAAGATTTGAAACAGCCATCTACAATTTGTGAGTTTTTCGATATCTCAGATTATCTTTAGAAATGTAGAATAAAATTACCTAAATCTTTGCCACTAAGACACCTCATTTTGATGCTAGTGGCATGATGGGAATTGTTGCTTGGTTGATTTAACAAGATGAATCCCTTAAAACAGGACAGTGTTTTTCTGTCCTTGCTGAAGGAAGCCTCTGCTCTTCCTATGCATGCTACTTTCTAAACATTCCCCTTGGGGCCAATTACTAGAGTAAACATTAATGTGCCAGATGACATCTTAGCTTGCTAAAAAAAAAATAACCAAAAAAAATCAAAATAATTCCAAAGCAGAGAGTTGTATTTTTGAAGAAAAGGTTTCTTTTTACTGTAAGGGATTGATATCCTTGCATTAAAAAGCTATATATTGTCTAACCAAGGAGACCAGCATACTTGGGACACAGAGTCTCTTCACAAACTGAAAGATTACACAACTGAGGTGGGAAGGTGAGGAGAGAAATATGTTTATGACACCCCATCTGAGGGTATTATTTAGTTTTGGGGTGGGACATACTAAATTTTTTCATCTTTCTTTGTTTGTGTATGTGTATGTGAAAAAGTGTAAGTGAAACTTGCTAATTTGAGCAAGAGATACATGGATACAAGAGATAGTTTTGCTAGTCAGATAATATGTGTGTCACAAAAGCCTTGCTTGCTTCCACTAAAAATGAATGTAGGAGCACCCTATCTGAGTAAAGCTTTAAATAAGGGACAAATTAGTCAGAAAAAAAATGTTGTTTGACAAGGGCTTTTCAATGTTTTAAGCAAAGCTTCAGTAGCACTCCTATATATGGTATATGGTGGGGATCAGGAAAAAAAGACAAATATTTAAAAAGTTCCCAAAATAGCATAGGCTTGGGAATAAAGAGTATGTTGCTTATTTCAACACTCATTGGCATTGCTCAGAAGCTGCCCCAGAGGGGAATAAAAAGGAGAGATTGGCCCTAAAACTGGGGTAAAAAAGGGAGGGGTTCTAAAATGCCAGTTAAAAATATTTTGAAATAATGTTCCTTTATCAAGAGGGTTCTAAAAATAAATTAATACAGAAAAATCCACCAGTAAATACGCAGCACATATGTCTGAATCTTACATTCAGACTTAAAAATTAATGTGAAAGCAAACTTTAAGTTGCTTCTATCTTCCAGTTTGGAAGAAATCCATAGAATCATGTGTTAGAGAGAAAGAACATAGTAGCTGTATCTAAAAAGAACTATAAGCCAAATTTTTCTGTCATGCTCACAAACTCTGTACAATCGTATAAAGAGCCTTTACTAATCTCTTTGGATGGAACTGACCTAAGCCACATAGAATCTGTCATCTAAACCAAGCAAGCAGACTTTGTTAGAACAGAAGACATACAAAATGGATATTCATCAGACTTTATCCAACACTGTTGCCGGCAACGAGCACCATGGCTTGTTGACGACAGAATGATGACTACCACCTGGGTGACACTTCCCTAGTCAATGGAGTGTCAGAGGCAGCTGCATGAATACTCTTGACTCACAACATCAAAGTAGCACACAAACCTAGCCAGGCCCTGTGCACAAGAATAATGTGCCCCAAGGAACCCCTACCCGAAGACGATATGTCATCTGTGGTCTACCAAATCAATTGTAATGACTATTCATGCAATTATATTGGAGAAATCACAAAATGCCTCTGGACAAGGGTCCATGAGCATGACATGGCTATCAAGTGCAACGAACAACGATCCCAGGTATGGACGCATATGGTCGAGGATAACCATACATTCAACTTTGCAGAGGCCAGAGTCATTGCCCATGAGTCAACGAAAGGCAGCCACCTGCTGAAGGAAGCCTGGCTAGCTAATCAACACGCTATTAACCGACACATCAAACTGTTGCTGGCTTACCAGGCATTGCGGCAACATGAATCATCATGCAGAGGGCCAGAATGGATGAATCAATGATCACTTCTCTCCCATGTTAACAGGAGAGCGAAAGACCACGATCGCACACAAACTGATATATTGGCGCAGCAGGGGACTACGTTGATAGGACGCATGGAAGAGCAGACCGGACTTACAAACTCCAGGAGAGGACATCAAATTAACATGACCAATGATACTGGCACAGCGGAGAGATTACGAGCTGGAACAGTGGCGCTGCATGCGGAGGAGATATCCAGGCATGACAGCGGGGAGAACAGTCAGGCATCGACTGACTGTTAGATGATCGTGTGCCGCAAGACGAATGTTCTCGGTGGGCGGGGCAAGTTGGGAGAGACAGAGCGGTAAAATTCAAACAGATGACAGCCAGCACGATGGAAACAGGATCAATGCAGCCAATTGTGGACGGGTGGGGGATGGACAGACCTATGACATGCTCATTGTCCAAATTGCTAGCTTCTCAAAGACTATAAAGATGAGCGTTCCCAGATCCTGGCTTATACTTTGACAACATCAGCAGTTGCTGATGAAAGCTAAGTTTTAATAAAGTTTTCTAGTCTCTGTGAAAGATGCAGTGGTGCCAAGTGAAAGCAACATCAGGAAGGAGAAGTATAAAAAGCTGCAGAAATATCAGGGCCTGAAGGAGAAACTAGAGAGAAAGTGGTCCCAGTGATAGTAGGATCACTTGGAGCTATGACTTCTAAAATGGGAGAATGGCTCCAATAAATCCCAGGAACAACATCGAAGCTCTCTGTCCAGAAAAGCGCAGTGCTAGGAACAGCTAAGATAATTTGCAGAACCCTCAAGCTCCCTAGAATAGCAAACTTCATGACTATAGTTTTCATAGTGGATAGCATAAATTGGCAGTGAAGGAAGACCCTGTGGAACAGAGATCTCATTCTTTTAAATCTGTTCGTGCTCATAGTGAATGCTACATATCAACTGTTGTAGATATACTGTTTGGTCTCTTGACTAATTTTGAGAAGATAAATAGGTTGGACCCAGCTAAGTAGATATAGAAGGGACCATTAGGAAGTCCTATACTGGATGGTCAAAACAAGAAGGCAGTAGCAACTAATTCTCATCATTTCCAAGAAAACTACATGGTTGTGTCCATGACACCAGCAGGAGTCAAGATAGATTTGAAAAGAGAGCTTATTTTTGCACTACCAACAATGAATAAATGTTGTTTTTGAAAAGGACAGCATTATATATTGTAAACAAATGTATATCATTTACTTATTTAACAATATCTGTGTACCTTCCAAATTTAAATGATTCCGGGCTGTATAAATAATATCACAAACCATTGCAACAAAATCATAACCACATCAATTAAAATGATGCCCACATTCCTCACTAAAGAACAAAGACTGCTGAAACAAAAATGTTTTTAGTACCTTATAAAAAGCCAAGAGGGTTAGATCCGAATGTCCCTCAGATGCAGTATGTTCCTTACAGAAGGCGCTATTACAGAGAAGGTCTCTCTTTCAGCCTTCCCACCCACTTTCATTCCCTAGCTAGGATAAATAAGATCATGTTCATCATGGCAGCCCCTAATATGTCCTAGTGCAACAACATATAAAGCTTTATAGATAATATCCAGACTTTGAAATGGGCCAGATTTGGGTTTCCTAAACGCAGGTTGTCACATAATTGTAATAATGTGGTGCCAAGTGAAGTGGGCGGGAGGGCTGAAAGGGATGTCTGCATAAAGAACTTAATTTATGTTGGCATATTCCCTCATTGTTCTCATTTATAGTGAAGATCAGTAATATCAATAAAATTGGATGTGGAAATTTTAAAAAAGTTTTTCAGAATTTTCAGAATATTAGAGCTTTTAAATGTTTGGCTACAGCTGCCAACAATCTAAAAACTGTATAATTGAAATTATGCAGATTGCTTTTTTAAAATTAATATTTTTCTCTTAAACTAATTCAGTTAGTTAGGATATGATTTCCATAAACTTCAGTTCATAACTTGCATAATGTAGTTAGTTGCTTTCTTTCAATCCTAAAATACATTTAGAGTAAAGTTGGTAAATTCTAAACACAAGACTGCTGATCACATCTGAAACACCTACAATAGTTAACAAGCCAGTAGAAGAGGCTAAAGACTTTTTAAAACAGTGGTTCTCAACCTGTGGGTTGGGACCCCGTTTGGGGTCGATTGACCATTTCACGGGGGTCGCCAAGCAAGGCTGTCCGCCATTTTTTTTTGTCCACCATTTTTTCCCCCTTTTCCGGCGGGTGCCTTACCTCCCTTGGGCTGGGCCAGCTGGTGGTCGGCCTGCTCCCTCTTTGCCGCTTGCCAGCTACGCCTCGGCCGGCACAGGGGGCGGAACCACGCATGCGCGGTGCTCCCGGGCAGGGAAAGTCCTCGACTTACCACCGGTTGGGTAGTCCTCGACTTATGACCGGTTTAGTCCTCGACTTATGACCGGTTTAGTCCTCGACTTATGACCGGTTGGGGTCGCGGCATTAAAAAGGTTGAGAACCACTGTTTTAAAAGGTCAAAGAGAAACGTGGATTTTAAAATCAATATCCACTTTGCATGCTATATTGAATAACTAAATATGGACTTTTTTTCAGATGGGAAAATAAATTGGCCTTTAACAAATGCAATACTATGCTGTCATCGAAGAGGATAATAGCCCTCCTGTAAGTATGACATACATAAATATGGTGTACAAAGTTGCATATACTATAAGAAACAACATGCTCTGAAACTCTGGAAAATTTTATTTATGAACCATATCAAATCACATAATCTTGATAGGCGTTAATATTCAGAACTCCAGTTGTTGTGGAGGATTTTGTTTGCTTGCTTAAACGTTTTGAGTTGAAATCTTACTGCAAGTGTTATTCCTCCAGCTGTCACAGACTCATAGATTAAAAGCAAAGTCATGGAGACATTACATACAATTTTGAATCAGCTTAGTTCTGGCATCAAAATAAAATGCAACTTATGATTGGGAAAGCAAGATAATTTTGTGTGTTTCCCTTTTCTCCTCCTGTGATCACTTTCATTTTAGATTGGTCTCAGTTTGTCATGGCACCTAGATTCAGACTGGTTAGTTTTACCTTTAGTTGCAAAAACAGATCAATTTTAAGTTATTTTGGATTCCTGTCACAGAGCTCAGTTGGCTTAATATATAACTAAGGTATTTATGTTTGTGACATAGCAACTTTGAGGTTCATGTTTTATTTGTCATGTTTGCTTTCTTTATTGACTTAAAAATATCTACTAATTGTGTACTGTTAACATCACCAATAAAGCGTTAATGTTATCTTTAATTATTTAATTCATTGACTGATAAAATGAGCATTAAAATGATTGTTGTGTGAAATCAAATTTCAATTGGCCTTTTCTTTTTTTAATTTTAGCATGCTAACATCATAAGGGCTGCAAAAAGACCAAATCCCTGTTCCCTTTGAATGCTTCAAGCAGTTTAAAGAAGTGGCTTCCTCATGACAACATGTCAGCGAAAGATCTCAGCCCTCGACATAGTTCAAAATCCCGTGTTGTGCAGCGGGCCGCCACTGTTGATGTTGCCTCTGATTTGTCAGGTTTATCTTTGACAGGTGATTATCTGTTCCCCACCTCTGCTTTTCCAGTATTAATTATTAAGACTCTGTCTTAGGCCCAATACTCTTCAATATCTTCATCAATGATTTAGATGAGAGGATAGAAGGGGAACTCATCAAATATGCAGATGACACCAAACTGGCTGGAATAGCCAGCATTCTAGAAGATAGGCTTAAGATACAGAACGATCTTGAGAGACTTGAACATTGGGCCCTATCTAACAAAATGAATGTCAGGGTTCCAACTAACGATCCCAAACAAAACAGAATTCCGAGGCTTGAAGTTTCTTCAAAGAACGTGTGTATTGGATATATATATTGGCACGTTCAAAAGTGAAACCAACTCTAAATATTTCTTACATTCAGTGTAATTAATTGTAACAATTACCTTCCATCCAAATGTCATAGATCACACTGTCCAATTAGGGCAATCGGCGGGCTCCTTGTCATTCCATCCTTCTTCCTCTTCCTTCTTCCTTCCTGTGGAAATGACCTTCGTTCCCACGGGATCGCTCTGTGTTGTTTCTGGCAATACATCCAGCCTCATTCCCCCTCACCCCCATTTGTATGGCAATTATGAACAAAAGAAAATGGCTTCTGCCAGGTTCGTTTCCGAAGTTCACAATGAAATTCAATGGTGAAAAAAGTAAGGTTCTACATTTAGGCAAGAAAAACCAAATCCACATGTATAGTAGGTGGTACCTGGCTCAATAGTAGTAATAGTGAGAGGGATCTTGGAGCCTTAGTGGACAATTATTTAACTATGAGCCAGCAGTGTGCTGCAGCTGCCAAAAGGCCAACACAGTCCTGGGCTGTCTTAATAGAGGGATAGACTCAAGATCACATGAAATGTTAATACCACTTTATAATGCCTTGGTAAAGCCACACTTGGAATACTGCATCCAGTTTTTGTCACCACAATGTAAAAAAGATGTTGAAAGTCTAAAAAAGAGTGCAGAGAAGAGCAACAAAGCTATTAGAGAACTGGAGGCTAAAACATATAAAGAACAGTTGCTGGAATTGGGTATGTCTAGTTCAATGAAAAGAAGGGCTTGGGTGTCATTATAGCAGTGTTTCAGTATTTGAGGGACTGCCACAAAGAAGACAGAGTCAAGCTATTCTCCAAAGCACCTGAAGGCAAGACAAGAAGCAATGGATGGAAACTAATCAAGAAGAGAAACAACCTAGAACTAAGGAGAAATTTCCTGATAGTTAAAACAATTAGTGGAACTACCTGCCTCCATAAGCTGTGAATGCTCCAACACTGGAAGTTTTTAAGAACAGAATTGGACAACCATTTGTCTGAAATCGTATAAGGTTTTCTGCCTGAGAAGGGGGTCGATCTAAAAGACCTCCAAGGTTCCTTTCAACTCTATTATTCAATATTCTATGTTATTTCTCCCATTTTGTTATTACAGAGCAAATAAAAACATCAGCCCCTCCCTCCCAAAATTGAGTTAAATGAATAATTTATTTTTATTTTGCTTTAATATTTTTAAATGCAAGTCTTATAGTCAGGTCTTTTTTCCAATGGATTATGATATAAAAAAATTGAAAGGTCATGAAAAAGTAGTTTGTTTCTCCTTCTTACCATTGTGTGGTTTATTTTTTGTTAATTTTTATGAAAATGGCACATATTTCTAGACATGTAACCTGCAAAATTTCAGAATATTAAGAGCAGAGATAGAGTTATGATGAATTTATGGTTTTTGCCTTCTGTTTCCCAAATGACAGATGACACTAAGCTGGCAGGAATAGCCAACATCCCAGAAGACAAGTTCAATGTCAGAATCCAATTATATTTCATTTCTAGTTATCTACTATGGAAAAAAACCATTTCTGCTCTCTCTGGATTTTGTCATACTACAAAGGGGAAGGGGGATGAGCAGGGGGGGTTTTATGGCTCTCACTTCCTTCATTAAACTTCAAAAGGACTGGATTTTGATTCTCACCAAGAGGACTGACCATAACAATATGGCCATCGCCTTTCATTTACTCGCTCTCTGAAATCTCCCTTTTGCCGGCAGTAAGGGAAAAGGGGGGGAACAATGAAGCGCCTGGGGTCTGGAAAAGAGAGGATGAGGATCGTCGCCCAGAAGAACTGTGGGTGGGGGGCTGCTTGGGAACACTTAAAACATTGAAGGATGGGAGAGAATTCCTCAGATCCTATCTAGCACGCCTGCTATCATTTTCTCTTAACAAAGATGCCTGTTGGAAGAGATATTCCAAGAGTTCTGTCTTCTTAAGATGTAAAGTGAGGTGGGTCCTTACATTAGACAGGATCTGCAAAAATAGTCCACCTGGAAGGGAGAACCTTACCAGGGGACTTTGCAAAAAGTACCATGTCAGACGACGGAGCAGGGAAGGGAGAAAGCCCCCTGGAGAGGGAGACGCTGCCCCAACTGAAAACCTGCCAGATGTCGGGATCTGAGAAGTCAGATTCCTCAGGAGAAGAGGTGGTGAAGACGCACGATCACAAACCTCGGTGGTCAATGGGCGTTGGAAAGAAAGGCGAGTAGGAAAAGAAATCAAGAAAGGTGACCCTAAGACGGGGGCCCAGCCAACCAGAATGGAAGCAGGAGATGGGGAAATCCCTGTACGCAAGCGAAGAGGAAGGAAGCTGGGCACCGCACTCAAGCTGGATCCTAGAGAAAGCTATCGACTTGATGAAGAGAACCCTCAGCTCCCTAGGAGAGGAGAATTCTGAGCCCTATGGCCACACCAGATCCTGGAGCCACAACTGGAGAGACACCGAGGGAGAAGTGGAACCTGCAGCCCCGGGGACATCCGCTGAACCAGTAGTCCCCATTCCCTACCGACCCGCAGATGGTGATCTGGATGGAAGGCAATACCACCAACAATGAAGGCACCGATCCATTCAAAGACTCCCGCCGCTGGACGTGAGATTCAAGGGGGAGCCGACACGCTTGGGATTTTTCCTAACCCAAGTCCTCAGCTACATGAAGGAATACAGGCAGCACATCCCCAGCGACAAAGCCCGTATCAGGATCGTGCAATCTGCTCTGGATGGGCCGGCCGCAGATTGGGTGGTAAACTTGCACGACTCCAATGCCCCAGAGCTCAACGACTTCAACTGTTTCATGTCCTCTCTGAGAAGGCGATTTGAGGACCCCCTGGCTGATCGCAAAGCCCGCGAAAGGATCAAAATGATGAGGCAAGGCAAACGCCCAGTAGCCGAATATACGCAAGAATTCCGGACCATTGCCAGCAAACTGAACTGGCCTGAAGACATCCTCCTTAGCCATTTCAAAGACGACCTCTATGACGTTTGCCTGCCCTGAGGGGACCCACACCAACTTGACGAATGGTACATCCTGGCAGAGGAAGCAGAGATCGACCTATTGAAGAGGCACCGCCGAGGAAAACAATGGAGCTGCTCACCACCTGAGTCGACACGTGAACCAGTGAAACCATTAGCTACGGCCAAGAAGTAAATGAGGTGTTTCAAGTGCGGGAGAGAGGGGCACCGGGCTGTAAAATGCTGCTCAAAAGCCCCCCAGCACAACCCAGACAGATCACCAGCCAGCAAATCTGGGAAATCTCCAGCTAAGCCAAAAGAACCTGCCATCAGAATGATGGAGGCCGTGGAATCCTCTAACTCTGCTCATCGGGGGGAAAGAACTTCAGCCTACACCGTAGGGCCGGTGGACGCCTCAGACGACAGCTCGGAGAGCGAAGCCCTGGTAAGTGGACCCATCGCACCCATCCTCAAGACAGTGACTATATTAATTCCCCCCATGCCCGAAGCTGTCAAGGTGAAAGCCTTAATAGACTCTGGCTGCACCCGCTGCCTCATTAGCCCGACGCTAGTGGGAAACCTGGGCATTCCGTCGAGGAGACTGGAACAACCAATCTCATTTGGCCAGTTAGATGGGTCCATAGCAGGGGGGGTGCCAGCTACCCTAACCACTTTACCAATCCACCTCTTCCTGGGCAAACATGAGGAAGACATAACGTTTGTAGTGACCCCAGGCATGGAATGCCTGATGATCCTAGGGATGGAATGGTTAAAGAAATGGAACCCCTGGGTGAATTGGAGGACGGCAGAAATCAACTTCCCGAAAGGGGATCCTATGGACTTAAAACCCCAAGGGGATCTACCAAAATTAAGAACGGAAAAAGCATCCATGGGAGAGGAAAAGGGGCTACCAGAAATACCAGAGGAATACAGAGATCTTGCTGAAGTTTTCAGCGAGGAGAGGGCGGGTGAGCTTTCCCCCCCCCCACCGACCCACGGACTGTGCCATAGAATTCAAGCCCGGAGCAAAACTCCCAAAGCCCAGATTATACTCCATGAGCCCAAAGGAGAAGGAGGAAATGGAAAGATTCATAAAGAAAAACCTAGAAAGGGGGTTCATTGAACCTGGCCGCTCCGGTTCTCTTTAGAGAGAAGAAGGACAGCTCTTTACGCTTATGTGTGGATTATAGGCTCCTAAATACAATCAGTGAAAGCAACCTATACCCCTACCCCTCATGAAGAACATGTTATCACACCTCTGGAAAGGAATTTTTTTTTACTAAACTAGATCTAAGGGAAGTGTTCTATCGCGTGAAAATTAAGGAAGGGGATGAATGGAAGACCGCATTTAACTGCCCAATGGGGTGCTACCAATTCAAAGTCTTGCCATTTGGATTACAAGGGGGGCCTGCAGTATTTATGCAATTAATCAATGACATACTAAGGGAGCACTTATTTAAGGGGGTCCTGGTTTACTTAGATGACATTCTTATCTTCACCGAATCAAAAGAGGAACATGTCAACCTAGTCAGAGCGGTTTTAAAGAAACTGCGAGCTGCCCACCTATATGCCAAACTATTGAAATGCGAATTCCACCAGGAAAGGATAGACTACCTAGGTTATCGCATATCCCCACAGGGCATTGAAATGGACCCAGAAAAGGTCAGAGCAATATTAGAATGGGCACCACCTCACACAAGAAAGCAACTGCAAAGTTTCCTGGGTTTCGCAAACTTTT